TATTATTTTTTATTATTAAATAATAGCGCTATTGTTGTTGTTATTGTTGTTTTGTGTTTTATATTTTTCTAGTAATAAATCGTTGTTGCAAAAATAGGACGTGACTGTACTTGTTTGCTTGTCTGCATTATATTGTTGTTGCTTAATTTTTTTTGTGTTGCTTTCCTTTTATCTGACTATTTTTTTACTATTAACATTAACCCTTAGTTAAACAAGTTTAATTTTAAATTTTAGTATTTGCTGCCACAGTGACGACTTTTTAGGCCGTTAATGTTGGTGTTGTGTGCAATTTTTTTCTGCTTACTATATATTTGTATATATATTTTTTTGTTATCTACCGTTTGAAAAGTGATTTTGTTGTGTTAAACGTAGTTTTTGTTTTTGCCTAATGTTTATTGTGTTTTTTTAGTGTTATTCTTAGTTGCGGCTTGCTGTGTTTTGAATTTTAGTTACTGTTTAAATCTATTCTATTTTCAATAAATTTCTTTTTGTTGTGAAATATGGAACACTAGAGTTAAAATTGTGTAACTACTTAGTTTTATTGTGTTAGTTTTTTTTTTTTTTAATTTTTTTACATTCGAAAAATTTGGCTTGCTCTGGCCATTCTCGCAGCAGCACAACTCTCAGCTGCCGTTCGAGCAAATACGTGCGCTTTGCCAATTTTAAGTACCTCTCAGAGTACTGCAACAACATACTTTGCCGTTGTCCTCTTCGCTTTCATAACTAGATTGAAAAACTTCTGAAAACTACTACAGCTACGCTAATTTTTTCGTCCCAAAATATTTCAAATCTATTTTCGAGTATTTAGTGTTTTTTATTAAGTTTTTTTTTTTTTTAATTTTTTTACATTCGAAAAATTTGGCTTGCTCTGGCCATTCTCGCAGCAGCACAACTCTCAGCTGCCGTTCGAGCAAATACGTGCGCTTTGCCAATTTTAAGTACCTCTCAGAGTACTGCAACAACATACTTTGCCGTTGTCCTCTTCGCTTTCATAACTAGATTGAAAAACTTCTGAAAACTACTACAGCTACGCAAATTTTTTCGTCCCAAAATATTTTAGATCTATTTTCGAGTATTTAGTGTTTTTTATTAAGTTTTTTTTTTTTACTTTCTTTATGCAATTTATTTATTATTCATTATTCATTTAGTTTGCAATCATTTATTGGTTTTTATTTTATTAAACTTTTCGCTCTTAAGCCTACAACCTTTTTTATATACTATTTATTAGTATTTAGTTTATGTTTTTTACCTTTTTGAAATATTTTATATGCACGAATATTCAAAACTCATTTTCAGATATATTATTTTATTTTTGTTTTCTATTTATACAAGTCTTAGAAACTTTAAAAAAATTATACGTCATAAATTATTATTTTATACACACCTTTATTTTTAATAACTTAGATTTTCGTTTAATTTTTTTCATTCACTGCTACCTCTTAAACGTAGTAGTTACTATAGATTTTACATTTAATTTTTATTTTATTTTATTTTATTTTTTTCCAAATATTCTTGTAAATAGTTCATCAACCTTTAATTGTTGCCTTAATTATTGTGATAAATTGAAAGTGATTGCTGTAGGGTATGTGTGTGTGGGTAAGTGTGTGTTTTTGTGAGGTTAAGTGTATGTGAAATTTTGCTTAAGATTATTAAGTAAAATAAGAAGTGTAAAAAAAATTAGAATATGAAAAAGAATCGACTGAAATTGTTCGAAAACAAACGAAAAAATACCAAACGGCTCATAAAGTTATTAAAAAATTACCGAATGAAGATAAAAAACATTAAACCGCAAATATATTTCAAAATTGAGGTCCTCTATAAACTTTTAGCTGAAAATGTTTCTGTACACCCAGAATTGGTTTACAATGACAAATACATCCTCTCCGTTGTTGTAAAAATAATAGTCCACTTTTAGCAAATCCTCTTGTTCTTTTCCCTCGCACGAGGATGCGATTTTTCGTACATTGATTTCGCTTACAGTTGCTCCGCATATATTAGTTTCATTCACTTTAATTCTCTATCTTTCCCTCTTTTGGGCGCTCTTCATTAAAACTGCTCTCTCTCTCTCTCTCTCTCTCTTTATTCATACACAGTTATTTCGGATTCTGAGTTGTATCAGATTCAAAGCGATCTAACGTAAGTTTATGTTGATGTCTAGTGGCTACCAGAATACAGTTTTGATTCAATGAGTGAACATAAATTCGTTCTGTCGATGATATAAACAGAATACTGTTGTGTCTAACGAGCTGAATTTTCTTCAAAAACTGTAGATACCGTGAAAAAGTCGGTCTCGATATGCTTGAACATGGCAATGCTGACTCAACTTTTAAGACAGGAACTCTACAGGTGAAGAAACGCGGCTAAACGAGCTTTGTAAACAGCCTCGCGCGAAGCCAATACGCTGAAGTATGACTGTGCATAAAGCTTAAGGAAAGTTTCTTTGATAATCATTTATTATAAAACGTTTTTGGCTCAAAATTTGTTTCATCAACATAACTTGCCAATTTGTTAGGGTTGGATTTGTTCTATTCTTCAATTCCCAATAGGCACAAAAAACTTTTGTTTCCATTTTTTTCCAACAACAGTTTTTGCAAGGTTTGATTAAAAGTTGTTTTTCTTTACTCGATTGGAGGACACTGACACTGGAGATGACAGAACGCCGAAACTGGTTTGTCTCCAAACTAAACTTAACAAAGGATGACGGAAATTCGTTCTAAAATAAATCAACTTCCCACCCTCTCGAAAAAAAAAATCAACCAACAACAACAAACTAAGTATACTTTGCGTGCCAAATATGTATGTATGTGTCCGTTTGTTTGAGATTGCGTTGGTTCTCCAATTTCGATTCACCTGAAACTCAACAATGGAAATTGGATTTGCACTCTTCCCCAACCTGAATGTTTATTGAGTTATTTCGCCGTTTTTATCTTTGTTTTTTTTGATATTCATTGAAATTCTCATCATATTTGCCTCACCTCACTTCCTGAAAAATATGCAGGCCTTCGACGTGGAAATATTTCGGTATTTGATTTGTTCATTGTTTGGTTGATCATTAGGGTGGCCCTAAGAAATATGAAAACCTAAATTTTGTATGGGTCACCCCCTTATTTTGTTTTATATACAAAATAAGTAGTTCCACAAAAAAATTAAAAATAAAAAAAAAATTAAAAAAATTTTTAAAAAATTTTAGGGGTCGTTACTAAGCTTTGAAAAATTTTAAATCTGATAAATTTGAAATATATTATATTATTACATATAAATTCGTAATCACTATGCAATATTAAGCAATCAAGACCAGAGCTGCTAACCATTCTTAGCTTTGAGCCATATTGAGGTTAAAAAGGTGCCAAGAAGAAAAATAAAAGGTGCCATTCTTCTTCATCGAAAGAAGATTATTTATTTTTCTTCCCCATTTCGCAATAAAATCAAAAACCACATTTCTGAAACAAAAGTGCAATACCAAAATAAGAAAAATCAGTGGCATAAACTTGAGAAACTAGAATATCTTAGTTCATGGAAAAGTAGTACACGCGTAGGATATGAGGTATTTAACCTTCTTTAATCATATTAGCTATACCATTGCTAAAGCCTACTCTAACCTTTCAAAGATGTCTACATCCGTGCAATACTCTATAACTTGCTGGCTCATTCAAAGCTGGAATACGCTTCTTTAATCTGGAATCCAACATACAAAACTCATTCTGCTAGACTTGAAAGAGTACATCGAAGTACCATCCATATGGCCGGCTGTACGCTTATAAGTCTGAAATCACTTACGTCTAAGCGATCTATACAATCTCCGCTTTTCATATATGATATCGTTAATAGCTAAAACAGTTGACTGTCCAGAGCTTCTTTAGCAAATAAAATTCAATATTTCATACAGAAATTTGCGCTCTCATTAGCCGTTTCATATTAAAGTTATTAAAGCTCAATTCTTCAACTATGACCCCATTTCAAGAACCCTCACTGAATTTAGTACAATTTTAAGGATCCTAGAACTGGACTTCGCTTTCACTAGGTCTCGGTTTGGTTCATTGCTTGGAATTATTTTATTCGTAATCATATTTTTTAAGTACCTAATTTACGCTTAGATATATACGAGCTTGCATATATCTAGTCTATAGTAAATCATACGATTTAATAAATGAAAGGAAATTAAACGAAAATGGCACCTTTTGAGCCAAGTTGGCAAACTGACCAGAACTCTCATTTGTTTCAGTTTTTATCGGAAAAAGTGCAATATTTTAAAAGTTTATCTTAAAAAAAAAATACTAAGAAACTCGTGTTTACACTCTAAAAAATCTGTTTAAAAATGCGTCTATAAATCGAATATATTTTTGTTTATTTTTAAAACTTTTTGATAAATTTACGCGATGAATATGTATTTTCCTCGTTTACACATTTTCGTGATTTAAAATCCTTTTTGTTAGCGGCTTTACACAATTCTACGGGTGAAATCAAACAGCAGATGTGTATTTTGTAGCTTTTACACACTTTCGTAGTAAATTTACACACACCACAGCAGCACGAGCATGTGATTTCGCGAATAATAAGGTAGGAAATCAGTAACCTACCTTTTAACTAGGAAGTCTACACAAGTTTTTTTTAGAGTGTAGGGAGAGTTAGTATGGACCATCCTGAGCTCAGAAAGTATCTTTTTTGATTTTTTTCCATAATAAAAAAAATTTCCAATATATTAAATTTCAATATTTCCAGACAATGATAGCGACCCCCAAAACATTATTTTAAAATTTTGAGCTTTGCGGGAATGTTTCTATTTCATACGTATAAAGAAATTATGTGGTGTCCTATACAAAAATTTATATGTTGATAGTTTAAGGACCACCCGAACTCATTTTACTTTTTAAAAATCGCGCAGAGCTATTTAGCCTACACTTCATTCAACTATGGCATTCGCAGGACCTCCAGATCGGTAACTAAATATCCTTCAAAACTCGTCAATTAATTTTTGAATTTTAAATTATGAGNACCGGTAACTAAATATCCTTCAAAACTCGTCAATTAATTTTTGAATTTTAAATTATGAGCTCATAACATTCACTCTAGTATCGATTAACGCTTCGTTCGCCAAAATAAAAAAAATATATAAAAGATGCCAGTAAATAAATAACACATCAAAACTGTTTAAAAAAGGAGTATTTCGTGTATATTATTTAATATATCTCTGCTTGTATTAGATCGCAAATACTAAAACTGTACACCTACTATGTTTTACACTTTCACACAAAAGAGCACGTAAGTAGTTATGTCGTACTGCTTAATCGCTAGTCGATATCGACTCAATATGCTTATAAACAATGAGAATATAATAAAACGATTTCTTTTTTAAATAACAAAACAAAACAATAAAAATTAAATACTTAACAAATTGAGTGCATAAAACTTATGAAAATTAAAACCTCTTTCCGATGCGCGATCGCCTTCAGTTACATTTATAGAAATGGTCATTTGGTGCTTAATGCTAATATATTCGAGTGTAAATTGNCTAAAACCTCTTTCCGATGCACCGCGCGGTTGCCAGCGAATTTAGCTGCGCTTCAGTTACATTCATAGAAATGGTCATTTGGTGCTTAATGCTAATATATTCGAGTGTAAATTGTAAATGTTGCTAGCAACTTACGTCGTACGCCCGTGCTGTGGTTGTATGCCATTCGCAAATTATATGCCAGTACGCGCGCTTGCGTTTTTATGCTGCGCGCTTAGCTGCCGCTCGACATTTACGCACCTAAGCGTTGCCATTGCTGCCAATGATAATGATGTGTTGCTGTTGCTGCTGCCATTGGTAGTGCAGTGCTTGCTGTTGTTGTTGCCACAAGTGCTGATATTGCAGCTGCTGCTGCTGCTGGTAGTTGTTGCTGTTGCCGCTACCGCTGCTGTATCCGTTAAATTGCGCATTTCATATGCAACCGCCCAACGCCGTGGCTGCAGCAGCAGCCGTTGTTGTTGCTACCGCTAGCGGTGTAGTTGTAGTTGCCGCGCCCGCTGCTGTTGCTGCTCCGCCACTCAGCACATGTGTATGCGGCGCTGTGCCCGCTGTTGTAACCGCAGCGGCAAGCATATGTTGTGGCGCGGCGGCAGTTAACATTTGCGGCGCTGCTGCATAGTGGAATTGTTGTTGTTGCGCTGCGGCGGCTGCTGCTGCTGCGTACTTCATCAAATGTTGCTGCACTGCTGCGGCGCTTTGCTGCTGGTGATGCGTCGGGTAAATGTACTGCGCTGCTGTGGCGGCGGCTATAGGCGCCGGCTGTGGTGGTTGTTGTTGTTGCAGTTGTTGGTGTTGCTGTTGCTGCGCTGCTGTCAAAATTGGAATGCAATTCGAATTGTAGTCGCTGCTGAGCAACAAAGTAGGTGTACCCGGTGTCAATTCGTAGGCGCCACTGCCAGCCGCGGTGTTGGCGTATGCCGTGAGCTGCGATGGCGCCGCCTTTAGGTAACCACCAGCAGTGCAGGCAGTTGGTGGTGGTGGCGCTGGCACGGTGGCAATCGCTGTGGGTATGGTAACGGTGGAGGTGGTCGGCAGCGTCGATGTGGCTGAGGTGAGCGCTACGGGCGGCGAGGTGGCGATCGAGCAGGACGAAGATGAGGATGCAGAGGAGGGCGAGTAGGGCGAATGGCAGGTGAAGTGGGGCAGATGAAAGGCGGCTGGCTGCTGTTGTTGGTGATGGTAGATGGCGTGTGTGGCATGCTTCGCGGTGTTGCTGCTGCCGTTGCTAGGGCTGTAGTGAGCGGAAATGTAATTGTTGTTGTGATGATAGTTGTATTGTGATTGTTGTTGATGTAGCTGGTGGTGCTGCTGTTGTGGTTCGATTATTATCAAATTGTTATTGTAGTTGGTGGCAATGCCGGGCGTTGTTGCTGCGGCGGTGGCGGCGGCTGCTGCTGCAGCTGCTACCGACTTGGCATGCTGTTGGTATTGTTCATGTGCTTGCTTTTGTTGCTGCTGATGTTGTTGTTGTTGGGTGATTGTATGCACTTGATTGTTCTGGCTGTTGTTGTAACTGTTGTTGCTGCTGTGATTGCTTGCATTGCTGCAGCTACTACTGCTGCTGCTGCTGCTGCTACTGTTGCTATGTAAATTATTGTTATTGTTGTTGTTGTTGATGTTGCTGCTGCTGCTATTTGTATTGACGTAGGCAGCCATAACATTCGCCGGCGGCAACACAATCGGTATATGATAATATTTACATTGTTTACGTCTGCATTGGCCGTTGGCGTGATCGCGACACACAGCCACACGTTGATCACATACTTCAACCTTGTCATCTGTTGGTGGGGCGGAAGGGTAGCGTGGAAGTGCGTATCGAGAGAAAAGAGAAAAATCCAAAAATTTAATTAGCGATAATTTTAATAACTTTTTTGGTAAACAATTTGTAAATAAATTTTAAAATTACATATATACAACATTTGTTTGCCTGTTTGAGTGAGTGTGTGTGTGCGTGTATGCGTGTGAAAAGAGAGAACAAGACATACATATTTAGTTGGTGAGAGTGAAATACTGGGCTTGCAAGCTGTTTGCAATAGAAATAAGTTTAATAAATCTCATAAATTTGTTGACTTAAAACAATTTTTGTTTTTATTGTTTGCTAACTTACTATATATATTTTAAACAGTAAATATTATATATTCATATTATTTTCGTTAATGTTGCAAAATGAATAATTACAAGGAAAATACCACAGGGTTTCTGTATGTAGTTATAGCCCAATTCCACTAAAAGCTTAATTGCAGTTAAGAGCTCGGGCAAGTTCCAGGAAAATTTAACGTGGGGTGATCGGCCAACAACTACGCAATTCGTTCTGTAATCCCCTTTTTTATAATGAGCATACATAAACTACATTTAAGGCTTGGTGGAAATTAACTATTAAAATAAATAGTAAATCAAAGGATTCATAGCACTGCCTGCCTGTTTTTGAGACATAATGCTGACACTTCTTATATATTAGAGGATTACAGAGCTGTTAGCAGAAAAAAAACAAAAACAGTCCGCCTCACTTGAATATACACATTATTTTTCTCAGGGATCGAGCTTATATCGAAGGCGGAGTGGAAGATGGACCTATCTTGGCAGCTAGTTCGAAAACGCGCTATCTCAGAAGAAAGTCCTATTTCAGAATCCGGTTGAATACCGTCCTATTTCAGAATCTCTTTCTATGCAAATCTTAACACCAATTAAAAACAAGTAAGAGCAGCGCTGTCTTCGGCTATACCGAAGGCTTTATACCTTTCATGAACATCTGAAAATTTTACTTTAACAGATTACTAAATTTGAAAAAAAAGTATATATTCACAGCATACATAGATAGAGGAGATGCACATACAAAAAAACATATCTACACAATCAGAGGTATGGAAGATATACCCTATATTGCACCAATCTAAGTGATTCTCACTGCTGTGTGATCATTATGTAAACTGGTAACACAATTTAAGGAAGCTAAACCCACTACATAAAGGAGATATATCGCAAAAACTGGTATCTGAACGATCCGTGGTATAAGAGATAAAGCTTATACAGCATAGATTTTGACGATTTTCTCAGTAAACTTTGTAGTATTATTTATAAAATAGCTTACGAAATGTATCGGTTTTAGCTGTCCAAATAAAGGAGTTTTACAGTAAACCCCATATCTGAACAATCAGTTGTATGGACGCAATAAATAGGTTATAGTGACCTGATCTTTGTCAATTTTACTGCAAACTCTCTGTTGATAATGAGTGAAAATAGTGCGAAATTTCATGCTTCTAGCAGCATATATGGAGAAGTTACAACTAAAAGAATCTCATATCTGAACAATCAGTTGTATGGTGGCTATAGGTTATAGCGACCCGATCTTCGCCATTTTCACTGGAAGACACTGCAGTCGTTCGGTAGGCGAAAGGACCGGTTAATCTGCAGGTCCTTCGAGTAGACACCGACTTGACATCTGATTTGTTTATTGTTACATTAGATATTTAGTTATAGCTTCACTTTAACCTAAGGTAAAGCAGTAATAATGGCTGTATTCAGATAACAGAATACTATGGATGAAAGCTTTCGAACTAGAAAAAAAAAATGTAACTAGCGACTACTATGATTTCTGTCAAATTAATTTGAATTAAATTTTTTTCATAAATTTAAAACTAATTAAAAAGTTTAGATGTTAGTTTTAAATTTTAGAAAAAAAAATTATAGTTGCCTTCACCACCGGTAATGAAACCGAGTGTTAAAAATTGAACAACTCTGTGGGATTTTTCTCTCTTCTAAATTGATTAATGACCAGGGGTTCGAAGATATCTTATTTTCCTTAACTTCCCTATGCAAATAAATTTTAAATGTTTATGCTGGTTTTCACTGATCATTACTTCGACATGGCTCTGATTTCGCGAGAAGCAACGAATTGTGTTCCATTCCCAGCGCGTTAACTAAAATTTTACTTTCTTAAGCTATATTTATTTTATTACATGTTTTCTATGACGTAAATCATTATAAATTACTTACATAATTATATAAATAAATTTATTATATTTAATAAAAAACTGTTTTATAAAAAATCGTTATATAAACCATAAAACACAGAGGCTTTCGAAAAAGGAATAGGCATATAGATTTTTTCCCCCTGTATGCAAGATTTTTTATTTAATATTTTTTTCCTGCTAATTTTTTATAAAAATATATTTTATAAAATTTTAAAATAAAATTTAAAAACGATATTTAAAAATTGTTAAAAGTTTAGCAACTTTCTAATCAGATTTTCTAAAACGCAGGAAACTTCAATAAATTTATTATAGAAATTTTTACTTTCTAATCAAATTTTCTAGAATCCAGTTTGAGGCCCATTAATTTCTAGTATAGTAAGATGCAAGTTTGAAGCTGCACGATTTTTGTTCTCTTTTTTGTGTACTATGTTCGACAATTTTTTTATATGGACGAAACTGCACAACACCGTCAATAGAAAAAAAAAATGTAAAAAATCAACGGTGAGTCCTAGCTACTTCAAACTTACGATTGTAATGCCAAAATTTAATGGGCTACAAGGCTGCATACCCACAAAAATTCTTAAAAATACGATTAGAAATTATAAAATTTCTTTCATAACTTTTTCTGAGTTTTGCACAAAGTTTAGAAATTTTATTTTAATGTTATTTCTTGTAGTAGATATGACCAATATTTGTATAGAAAAAAAGGCGAAAAAAATTTAAATAAAATATTTTGCCTACATTGTGAAAAATTTTCTGTGACAATACTTTTTTCCGTGGCTGTATACATAGTTTAAGAGAATCGATTCAAACTCGAAAAGCGGGAAAAATTTAAACTCGAAAGTATTTTTCGTAAAAAAAAACTTGACAGTTCAATTAAAGTTTCGAGGTTTTCCAGAATTTCGAGGCTCAGTTATGGGGTTATACTTATTGCACTTTTCACTTGTTTTGGGCTTTTTCTTTTACATAAGTATACATGAAAATGTCTTTAAAAGCAAAACTGCTATTTTAAGAATAATGTAAACAAATAAGCAATACAAATTTAAGCATGAGATCTCTCTCAGAAGGCGGCATGTAGTGTAGTGAGTAAGCTAGGTATACATAGTATGTAGTAAATATGTACAATGAAAAAAAAAAGAATTTAACTAAAAACTAAGTCTAGGCAAAAAAAAAACTTAAATATCACTAGATATTAATGAAAGCAAAAACGAATAAAACTTTTAACTAAAACATACAAAGGCATGCACTTACCTTCAGTTAAATGAACGAATCTACAATTTAACCGACTGCACATAGATCTATTGAAATCTTGGCACACCGGGAGGGTGTCCAGTAACTATTGGATTGTTGTTGTAGTTATTGTTGTTCATTTAGTTATTTATTTTTTCAAATAAATGTTGAAAGAGTGTTGTACGAGTAGTTGTAGTTGTAGTTGTAGTTGTTTTATTGTAATGGCAATGCATATGGCGGATGCGGATGCGGTTCAAATACGTTACGAAACGGTTACGGATTCAATACGGATGCGGGCACAAAAATGTTGTTGAATAATACAATAAATAAATCAAATAGCCAACCAATCAGTCAATCAATTAATCAATGAAATTGACAAGAAATTAA